GTGTTTCTTTGCTCTTTTTGCTGTTTAGTCAGTCAACTAGACTGAATTGTAAAGCACTTTGGACAACTTTTTAATAAACTAAATATGACTTTTGTATAAAGCTGTGTTTTATATGTTGATCCTGTTCTTAGAACCAGAGACGGATGTTTTGCCCCAGACCTCCAGTCAGGAATACACACAGATCCTTCCATCAGAGGGTGTCGACCTCAGCAAGTCTTCAGACAGTAAAGGTGAGCTCAGAGCCAGACCACACTCTGCTGAAATGTGCTTCATCCTGGTATTTTGTTGGAAGCAGCAGAGCTCCTGTGCGAGTCCAATTTATTGCAATAATTCTTTCTTTTAGCTTCTATGTGTTTTGTTTGGTCTCTTTGTTAATATTAATCTGTTAAGCCTAAACTAAACATCTGTTATATATAATAAACATCTCCTGCCTCACTAAGCAAGTTTCCATAAACCTTTTTGTAGTGAGTAGGACAGAAAATGAAGAGACTTCTGTCAGAAAAAGTATTTGTGTCCAGACTTTATTTCCTATACACATAATCAGCATGCTCTATCCTTTATTCCTTGTTATCGTTCCTTTCTTTCTTGATTTGGTTTTTCCATTTTCTTCCATCTCCTCTCCTAATAGTCCTCCATTTCTTTTTTCTATTCTACCTTTAACCCCTCTCTTTCCTCTCTTAATGTTGTTTTCTTCTTCATTTTCTTTTCATTTTTTCTCTCCTTCCATCACTTCTTCCTTTCTTGCTCTTCTTCTTCCCGTTTGCTGCTTTTTTCTTGCTTCTTTCCTTCTGTCTTTTTTTTTTCCTCACTTGTCATCTTCATCCTTGATCCCTCGTTTCCCATTTACCTTTTTTCTCTCTCTCTGCTTTTCATACCTTCTTTTTATCTGCCTTAAGGCCTTCCTTCCTAACATGTGTAATTCCTCCTTTCCTACCTTCTAATCCTCCTTCCTCTGAGATGTCCTTCCTTATTTTTGCCCAATCGCTCTTCCTTTTCCTCCATCCCACTAAGTTCTTCCTTCCTTTTTGGCCTGTATCCTTTCTCGTCTTTCGTTCATCATTTGTGTCCTACTGATAACTCATTCTTCTTTGTGTCCCCAATTCTTGTTTTTCTACCTCTCCATCCCTCCTCCTTCCCTTATTTAAAGGACTGTTACCTTTTATTGCATTTTAGGGTTAGTTCTTTATCCTTTTTTTTTTTTTGTTTCTTTTTTGTTTGTTTGGTGGGTATCAGACATTGGAAACAGGATCCAGGAAGAACCCAAACCAGCAGACGTTGAAGGGCTTACTGATACACTAACACTAATTTAAACCCTTAATTTCTGTTGTTTAAAATATAGAACAAACCTTTTGCTTTGCTCAAACAGCTAAGGAAAGCATTTGCTTTTTCTCACTGCCAGTTATTACATGTTCATTGCAGGCATAGGAACCTTTGGCAAGCACTCTTTTCTGGTACGACTGATACCCGACAATTTTATGTTCTTATTTATAGTTTTAAATCTGCTCCATGGCTCCATATCGATTTATTTTAGGTGCAATAACAATATTAGTTTGTCAGTTCCCAAGGCAAAAAACACAGATTTATTTTTTATACACACATATAGAAATTCAAGTGTCATGAGGTGAAGATGGAAGATAAAAGAAAGGCGAACTAGCAGTTTACTCCTGATTGTTTTTTTACTCAGGTGGAAGGGATTTTTTGACTTATTGGGTGGAGGTTTTTTAAAAACAGTCTGCATCTTTTGCACTGACCTATCATTTCCATGGGCTGCAGAATGTCACTAATGCGGTCTTTATTGAGCATTAAGTTTCATTTCTGGGATTTAGCTTCTCTTCTTCCTGGGTGTCTTTGGAAAGATGGCAACAGCATAAAGTCCTGTTACTTTGTTTCTCACAGACAGAACAGAGCTTCCTAGTTTAACAAAAATTAAGATCCTTAAGATAAACTGGTTGGATATTCAGCTTTGATGTGTTCAGAACCAAACCGTTTGATTTATGTGTAGCGCGGAATGTTATCTAGGTTTATCCAAAGATTTTTCAGGAGGTGAATTGTTTTGTCTCCTCAGAGCCTTCGGGGTCAGCGATCGAGGAGGCTCAGGAGCTTCCGCTCTGCAGCTGCCGAATGGAGACTCCAAAGAGCAGAGAGATTCTCATCCTGGCAGACAGGAAGTGCATGGCCACAGAGAGCGTGGACGGGCAGTTAACCCGCTGCCAAAGTGCCGTCCTAAAGCACGAGATGATGCGTCCGTCCAACTCTGTTCAGCTGCTGGTTCTATGCGAGGACCACCGCAGCGGCATGGTGAAGCACCAGTGCTGCCCCGGGTGTGGCTTCTTCTGCAGAGCGGTGAGTCCTGGGTCCCCTGCTCTGCTTGGAAGAGGCTGGAAGGTCATTTCTTGTTTATTTTAGTGGTCTGAACAGACGGGGAATAGGTGCATCACCAAACTTTTATTCCTCAAACTGGTTTAGACCGTTTCTTCATTGATCCTCCAATCACCAGTCTGTCTATCCGTCTCTTCCCGTCTTCTTTCATCCATTTATCCAGCATTGGAGATCTCCTGTTAAAAGGAGACGAAGAGCAAACGAGGAGATGATTCAGAGAGAACTTAAGAAAAAAGAATAGTTGCAAAATTTAAATCCAATCCACTTAGTTTTTTCCCACCTTAGTTTCTCTTGTACTTTTCCTACAGTGCAAAAAAAAAAAGTAAAACAAGTAATGTTTTCTGATAATAAATGCATTTTCAATTTTTAAAAAAATTTGCCAAATAAATACGATTTGCTTTTAAAATAGGAAAAGAAAGAACTCCATTAAGGATAACACACAAGAAAGTGCAGCAAAGCAGCATGGGAGTGTGCTACGCGAACATTACGACTGTCACAGCAGTTAAATTATTCTTAGTTGTAAAATGTACATACATATATTATACGGTTCCCCCTAATTTAGGTTGAGCTTCTAATGTCAGACGCATAAATGCTCCTGTTTGGCAGGAAGACGCAGGAAAACAGCATGCAGTGTTAAAGTTCTCGCAAACACATCATCTACCAGCAGAAGGAAGGCGCTTTCTATAAAATGATAAACAAAACCTAAAGCTGTTCATTCATGTACGCTCAATCAAACCAAACTAAAATATATGATTTTTTTATTTAGATGGTCAAAACACATACTTGTATGTGATATAGACAGGATATTTTATAGGTCATTTAACAACATATACATATAATTTACTAAATAAATGACTTAACTATGTAGCAAAAGTTCTTACCTGCTCAAAACCTCATCGCTGAACCAGAGCTG